GATTGTATTTGTTCTTCAATATTTTTTATAGAATTTGATATAATTAATGGTAAATTTGGATACTAAAAGAAAAAAAAACCAAATAGGTTTTTATCAAAAAGAAATAATTAAGAAAATCAACAAACTTGTCGAAGTCGAATAATTGAATCTAGAATAATTTGTAATTGTTCTTTTTTCATATATTGAAATTGAAGATGTTTTATTGTATTTAAATAAGATTTTATAATAAATGATGTATGATTATTAGTTGAATTATGAATTGATTCAAGAAGATTTATTGCAAGATGATAATGAGAATGTTCTTCATTTGATTTATCAATTGGTAAAGTTGGTAAAGAAAGTAACTCAATACAAAAATAACACATTGATTCAATTAAGATTGATTTATAAGCTATTGTACTATTATCCGATACAAAAGGTAGATAACGAGAAACAAGATCAAATGTTAATTCTTCAGTAAGTAAAACATTTGAACTAAAATTTAAAAAAACAAATAAAAAATAGAAAATATAAGAATCATTTAGAAATTTAACGAACATTGATGAATGAATAAAAAACTAGAAGAAAGAAGTTATATCATCTCGTTGATATTGATTAATAGATCGATAACCATTTGAAAAACGATAATCAAGTATAATTTCAAGTAAAGCAATATTTGGTTCAAGACGAGAACTAAGAAATAATTTAATAAGACCAAATACAATAGTAGTTTTTATTTCAATATTCTACAAAAAAAAGTTTTGAAAAATTCAAATTAACTGAAATATTGATTACTTGTTGATCGAAAAGATTTAAAAAATATTGTGTTGTAAATTGAGAAGATGTTAAATTTAATAAATTTATATTTGTTAAAATATCAGGACCATGAACAAGAAGAACATCAATAAAAGTTGATATTGATTGACATTTTAAAGAGATATTTTCGATTTTATCCTAAAATCAATTTTTTTTTCAAAATTATGATCCTCTTAAAGTCCTATACTAAGAATCTCGTATAGTCGAAACGACTATCCAACTTCGAATAGAAAATTTTGTTGAGAGTATCAAAGTACGATTCGCCAGGGCCCGGGTCCGAAAATTTTGGATCCGACGAATTCTACTCTACAGTATACATTTTTGCATGGCAGACAGACATATAACTTTCGTTCTAAAAAATGACTTTCTTTTGTTCAGAAATGGTTGCATATCGCTCTGGAAATCATTTTTAAGACAACAGAATATTTTTGGGAAGAAGATTTTTCGAGAGAATGTCTTGTATCATACGTCATCGAGTATAGTTTTTGCATGCTGATTCCGAATATAGCATTGATTTTCAATAGAAATAGTGTGGAGTCTGAAAAAAAGGAGTTTAGTGAAAAAATCTGTTGTATGGTGATCAGAAGCGTTTATGCTAACTGTAGTGAGAGAGAATATAAAATAAAAAATTCGGCCATAGTTTGAGCAGATTGAAATTGACGCTAAGGGATACGCAATCGTTTTAGTGAACTTAGCTATTCCGAAAGTTGATTTAGAAAAAACTTTTATTTCTTTTTTTCAAAAATTATACATTCATGTTTAAATATTTGTTTGATGATCGATGTCAAACGATATGCAAATTCAGAGTATCTACTGAGTGTATCTGCCAGATGGTTTAATTTGATCTAAAATTGATTTCCTCATTGATACCAGTATTTCCAAGCTAAGTTTTGAATTCCGATTAGTCAACTCAACTTAAAACTCATAACGAGAACTCTTACACCATTAGAGAGAGTATGTCTCGAAATATATTGATTACTATTTGAATTGATGAAAACGTAATCTTCGCTTTTTCATCTAAAGTTCGCTTGAGTGCACATTGTGCTCTCCATTTCCGAAAGCTTTCAAGATCATCTTGACTAAAAATTCTGAAACTTTCAATGCAAGCAGATCTCATTGAGTATAACAAAAGTTCTGCTGAAGGATTCGATGACTACAACTAGCCTAAAGTTTTTCCCTACGCTTTTCTTCATGCCACTACAGCCGACCACACAGAAATTTTCTCCGTAACATCTATGCATACTATTTTAATCATCAAAAAATCTTGAAGTGTAAGCTCAGGAGAACCACATTATTCGAAGCTCTGTGAAAAAAAAACATGTTTTCTGATGTGTTACAATTTTTGTAAGATTTTCTATAATTCGTCAATATGAAATTTTTCAACGACAAGAAAAAAGACAAAGCTCAATTTATTTGGAGATGCAGCAGAAAAATTTTTAGCCTTATCGATTGTAGACCGTAAGAAAAAAGCTTTGAAGTTTTTATGAAAAATATATTTCAAGAGAAACGAAAAGAAAATTAAAACTTATTATTCTTAGCATATTTTTTTAGCGTAAAGAACAACAAAAATCTGAAATATTCGAGTAAGGAATAAAGAAGCAATGCTGTTAAACATAAATAATAACACGTTTTGTTCACTGGTATAATAAAGTGGTTGTAACGCTCTTCGCCGAAAAGCATTTCGTCGAAAGACTCGTAGGACGCTTTAGACTGTTGCGAGCCCTCTAATTCTTATATAGGCTTGTTCAGTATGAAGAGGTCAACTCATTTTGTCCTCACCCTCACCTTTGGAGCACCCTCCGTGGCTAAAAAGTACTTGCGACGAAGTATGTTTCGGCGAAGAGCACATATACCGATTATAAGAATTGATTTTTAACTATTATGAAAGACAATATACGGTTATATGAAAATTTTGTTTAGTATATTCAATTGCTGCTTGTCTAGAATGACACATAAGAGATCGTAACGTTGATAAAGTTTGAGATTGAATATCAATATCTTTATGTGACAAACCCGATTTATCTAAATAGAAAAAATAAAAATTAATTTAATTTTTATATTTTTCAATTTCATTTACTAATGAATCAAATAATTGTTTTAAATCTGTATTATTTAATTCAAGTTGTTTTTCTTGTTCAACAAATACTTTAGCTATAGTCATACATTGTATAAATGTTAATTCTTCAAATTGTTCATTTTGACAACGTTGAATAATACCATTTAATGTATATGTTATTAATTGATATCGTTCATTAATTATATCTATTGATGGATGAATACGATGAACAAGTTGAAATGCTTGTTCAATTATTGTTTCATATTGTCCAAAATGTACAAGTATACAACGACCTATAGCTTCAATACATTTACGACGATATATATCAAGCATATCAAACGTTGAAAGAATTGATGCATATTGACAAATAATAAATTCTTCTATTGAAGATAATTTTTTATTAACAGATAATTTAATTAAACGATAAAAATATGAAATAAATTCATGAAAATCAGGATGAATATTTGTATCATCATCTTCTTCATTCATTAATTGACATAAAATACGCCATATAAATAAATGTTCAACATAATTTGATACATTTGAAAGTAAAAGACCATCTCTAAAAAAACAAAATAAAATTTTTCTCTTCAATACAAAAGTATTCAAGAAAATCTTTTTTCAAAATTTAATTCATATATATAACAGATGCACTCTCAAGAATGACTCCATTCATATTTATCTCGCTTACGTTTCGTTGTAGAACCATGCACTTATGTTTGGAAGACTTCTCATTAAGTTTTATATAAAATCATACAGGAACAGTTTATCTAATTTTCTTTTTTTGATTTGCAGAGAAGATCGGATAATACTGTTGAAAATCGATCTTGGTCCAAGTGAATTCAAATCGTATGAAATTTTCAAGATTTGTTAGAACTATAGTGAAGAGGCTATACTATAATATTCAATCCTACATCATTTATTTTTAATAAAAAAAACCTCTTTAGCATTTCGTTCTTCTCCTGTTTGTTTTTTTATCCATTTTCAATTGTTCTGTTAATTGTAGATTATTTTGTTTTTCAATATCTAATCATTTTTTAAACTCGGAACATTTTATACATGGGCCAGAATTGGTTGTTGTTGTTGTTGTTGTTTGCTATTTTATTTTTGTTCAATTAATTCTTTTAATTGTGCATTTGATTTTCTTTCAGTATCCAAATTCTTTTAAAATTCTTCGCATTTTTCACATGATTTTGCCTTTTCAGGGCGATTTAATCTATGAATAATAATTATCGACAATAATTAAAAATATCAATTGAAAATAAAAGCAAACCCAGGAACACTTGTATTAACACATTGTTTTTCTAGTTTATCTACAGTTGAAGCTTTAGCACGATGTAATTCATCTAATTTTGTTTTATAATCAGCAACTTGATGCTCAATCTTTATGATAAAAAGAAATAACAAATGGAAATTAATTTAAAAAAGCAAGAAGTTTTATACTTCAACGACTTTATTTTTAAGAGTAGGAATCGAAAGGTTATCTTTGTTTTTTTCAGTTGGATTAGAACTACTGATGCCGGATTTTTTAGAAAGTACTAACGACCATCTTTTGAATAACTTTTGATCACTTTGAGCTATCGAGCTACGATTTTCACCATTCAAAAGAGCAAGCTGAGAGCTACAAAATCCCTCTGATTTTCGATAGTCAAGGAATTGAACAACCAAGAGAACTTTTGCTGGACATTTTGTGAGCTACCTTGTGTTACTAATTTTCGTTCAATTTGAACTTTCAATAATAGCAATCGATAGAGAAAATTGTTCTCTTTCGATCTACACAAAACCGAGCTCACCATGTCGTTTTGTTCTGGAGTTATAAGCATTTTAACAAGAGCTCCGAAATCCGCCAAATGATCTTCCATCAGTCTAAAATGGTTCTATATAGGGGTAACTTGTCATGCTGAGTCGAATGGTGATATTAGTTTTCAGTTTCATAGCTTTCTGAAGTTATTATATCAATATTCTCGAAATTTCAGCAATTTGCTGATGTATAGTATGTAAAGACGATTTTTCGAGAATATTAATATGGTAACTTCAGACGTCTATGAAACTGAAAGCAAATATCATCATTCGAATAAGCATGGCAAGTTTCCCCTATATAGAATCATTTTAGCCTGATGGAAAATCATTTGGCTGATTTCGAAGCTCTTGAGAAAATGCTTATAACTCCAGAACAAAACGACATGGTGAGCTCGGTTTTGTGTAGATCGAAAGAGACCAATTGTTTCTATCGATTGGTATCATTGAAAGTTCAAATTGAACGAAAATTAGTAACACAAGGTAGCTCACAAAATGTCCAGCAAAAGTTCTTCTGGTTGGTCAATTGCTTGACCATTTGAAATCAGATGAATTTTGTAGCTCTCAGCTTGCTCTTTCGAATGGTGAAAACTGCAGATCGATAACTCAAAGTGATCAAAAGTTATTCAAAAAATGGTCGTTAGTACTTGTTAAAAAAATCCAACATTAGTTGAACTCGTAATTGCTTGAGATTTTGCTGTTGCCATATGGCACAAAACTTAAAAATTTATTTATTTACATGAATGTCGAATGAAACATCAATTTCAGTTTTTCACATGAATATTTCAATTGAGGGTTTTTGCAGTATTAATAATATCTTCTACTCGAACAACATTACGGAGTCTAATAAAGATTGTTAATTATTTAAAAAAATATTTTTAGCTCGATTTGAAAGAAGAAACATACAAAGCGAACAATATAAATTCATTCTTGAGAATGTCTGCAATAGTATAATGGTTCTAGTATGTCGGTTTGTCAAACTGAAGATCAGGGTTCAATACCCTGCTGTGGAGGTGTTAAATTTTTGCTCTGATGTAATGTGTATTTGCACATAGAAATGCAAAAAAAGAAAAAAAAAGATATGGCTGTCACGTGGATAGTTATTTGATTACAGAGCTGGGCATCTCCATGGTTACAAGTCTCATGTGGTATCCGTAGCCATTGAGATGCCCAGCTCTGTTTGATTAAGTATTTTTTTTTAATTTTAGAAATGAGAAAGAAATAGATCAAAAACAAATATTTAAATATGATATCTAGTTCATATCGATAAGCAACACCTGATCTTAATTTATTATTATTTTGAAAAGAAAAATACACAGGTATTATAATGACTCTTTAGTTTTGCTTGAATGTCGAAATATTATCATGTTATCGACAAAGCAAGTTTGTATTGTGAAGTCCATTTTATGAAAAAGAGAATGTCCGCGGTAGTATAGTGGTTAGTATCCCCGCCTGTCACGCGGGAAACCGGGGTTCGATTCCCCGCCGCGGAGTAGCTTTTTTTTTCTTTTTTCTATATAAAGTGATGCTGTTATTTGAACAGAAAAAATGAAAGATTAAACGAAATGTTTATGTAATGACGTATTCTTTTCTTATCTAAAAACCATGTTTGAAAGTTTTTTTTTGTTTATTGTTGTTTTTGTTCCCAAAACGTAATCGATGATACAGTAAACTTATTATTTGAATTATAATTATTATTGAGATAAACTTTTGTCCTTTGCTCTTTGGTTATTGAGGTCCTCATGTCAATTTGAAAATTTTATTTATATTCAAAAAACTCAGTTGTTAGATATAATATCAATCGAAGTCTTTTTAACATGCTGTTTGGAATTTTATGTCTATGATTGAAATCATTATCAATTATCAACTAGATAATACAAATTCATCTATAGGAATGTATTTCGAAGAAAAAAAATTTCTATTATGTTGCAATGATCATACAAAAAAATTGTGCTTAAATGGGTCAATATGAAGACATATCAATGGGAGCAAAGGCAGATGTGACGAAAAAAAAACATAAAAGTAAATGGTATGCTAAGTTTTTTATTCTCGGTTACAGCTTCAATATTGATAATGTTCTCTATAATGCATCGTTCTTTGATTAGTTATTCTCTGCTTGATTGGATTGTTCATGATAATAAATGCAACGGAAGCCTTATCATTAAAGCTTTCTACATCAAATGATTGTCAACGAAAAGGTGCTGATTGTATCAATAAAATATCATGTGGTCCTCTGTTTGGTTTGTCGTGCCAATTGGGGTGGTACATTTTGCTTTTAAGAAAAAACGATGGTTGTTATTTTTTATGGAACCATAAAGCAATAAATTTCTTCATTTAACAATAACTTTTATCGACTATTGAAATCGTTTAAGAGAATGAAATGATATGTTTGATAAATAGTGTAGCACGGTAGGAGTGTTCTGTGTGCCTAAATATAGATTGATAGACCATATCGATTTAAAGAGAAGAACCATATCTTGAAAAAAAAGCAAGAAAATTTTTGTTGTCCAATCATTTTTATATTGATATCGTTGATAAATATATCAATTTCGACAACAGCAGATCAGCTGTTTGATACACAAGAGAAAGTAATCGCTATTGAAAAACGTATATGTTATAACTATGTATTAAAAAACATTCATCCACATAGGGTAATATCCATCGACTATCTCCATCTATTTTATGAAAATAACGCAGAAATTAATTTGAGAAACTAATCTAAATATCATTAATTTATTGATTTATAACAAATACTTTGAAGAATATTCTTCGATGTTTTCATAAAACTCATCTTTGTTAAAGTTATACAATAGATTAAGGTTTGTTACAATGAGGGTTATTCACATTTCGCTTATAAGCCACCACCCAATGAAAAGAAGGAACAATATATGTTGTTTGTTGCTAAGGGCGGTTCTTCTTCTTTGATTTTTTCACTACATGTTCATTTCGTTTTCATATGAAAACGAAATGAACATGTAGTGAAAAAATCAAAGAAGAAGAACCGCCCTTAGCAACAAACAACATATATTGTTCCTTCTTTTCATTGGGTGGTGGCTTATAAGCGAAATGTGAATAACCCTCATTGTCAAAAATATGAATAGCAACCACTAACAAAATCGAAGCGGATCGAATATTTCGAATAACTCTTATTTTTAAGAATGTTAATGTTTTCTATTTTATAATATAGTTAGCAATTTACGTATTTGATTTTTTCATTAAAAAAAGTTATTATTTAATCCAAATCAGTTCTTAAAAATACCCAGATAAATATATGAAAAATATTATTGCTTTAAATATTATTATAAAAAAAAATATAGTTAAGGACAATTAATTCATTTTTTTATTGATAAGTCTAGTATCATTATTTACAACCTAGTCTCTCAGGCGCTGACATAAAAAAGAATGATTATTTTTGTTTATATTTCTCTATGCATGCAAATTTCATCTTATAATAGCCATCTCATTTTTTGCATATTTTTTTAAAGAGGAACAAGTTAATAACTTACATACTTTGCCTATCTTTGATTTTAGCAAGAGTCAATAATCCTTAACAGTCAACGGATAATCTTTACTTTATATGTCATTATTCTCTATTAAATCATACCCCTAGTAATAAGTAGTCATTGTAATATTAATAAAAGTATACTAATATATATACATTGAATGCATTATGTCAAACAAAGACTTTGTTTAGTTATACTTAAGGAATATTTAAATCCAACATGGTTAATGAAATACTTCTAAACGAAGTTAAACAACAACAAAATAGTACAAACTTATAATACAACAGAGACAATAAAACGTCTGTAGAGAGCGTTAGAGAAAAAAAAATTATTTGATATTATTTGACGAAAGAAATCATTTCTATAGAAAATGACTACATAAATATCATTACATCAAGAAAATTTCAAGATTAATCAAACGACGAATTGGTTATGTTCCTGACCAGAGAGTCTATTCGTTATTATATTCAATTTGTGAAAGAGATATTTAGACCACCATTTGGTCTTTATATTACCAGAAGATTCATCAGATTTGGTAATTTCTTCAAGTTGTTGTTGTAGCTGACGCTGCTGAACAAGACCACGAACATCAACAATAAACCATTTGATCACTATTCCGAATATAATCAAGCCGCAAGCAAATAAGACAATTGAAAAACCATTGAGATTTTCTTTTTTCTAAAAAATATAAAATTTGTGGTTAAAATGTAATAAGTGAGATAAATAATCCTTTTTTCTTACCCAAAAATCATACCCAAACCAGAAGCAACTGCTACAACAGATCAACATGGACCCAACAATATAGCAATAGATGATGATACATTTGCATTTTTCATACTTTGTCAGAGCAGGCTAGTAATATTTAAAAAAAAAAAGAGTAGACTACTGCTTAAAACGAGCTCGTTTACATAGAGTCGTCTAGTGGAGGAGTTTGTATGAATATCTGTATACGATATTTCATAACACTTACTAGTGCTGTCTTTGACTCTGTGTAGAGAAAACAATAATGCATCTTGCCTCATCATTCACTGAATCAGTTATTGTCATATAAGAAAACTGGTAGCTATTCATTATTGTTTTTCATATTTGATCAATAAAAACTATATACAGATTTTTCTTATTGTTTGAAATCCCTCCTTGAATAACTTTACATTACAAAAGACGATAATTAAACTAGATATATATGTCAATAGTATTTCAGATGTCAATGGTCTTTCATACTGTGACAAACATTCAGTCATATGTGACCATACAATTATTGTTCTTTATATTGTTATTGCTTTCGCATGAACTCAAATTCAAAAATCGGATTTAAATTCTATATTCGTCACCTTTTCACGATTTTGACAATCTTTTCTTCCAGATTGAAGGAACTTTTTGCCGAAGAAATGAATAGCTAGCTTAAACAATGATTAATACATCACCAGAAAGAAAAAGAATAAAATGAAATTGAATTTTTTCGTCTCTTTGACAATAGCACTTTAAGGGAAAATCAAATACGAAAACCAAGTAAACCATCTAATATAGCGTCCAAAAATTGAAGTAAAGTCATTACTTTAAAAAATAACGAACAACTAGATTCAATGTTAGTTCTCTGCATTTAAAAATTTGTTAAATTAGTCAAAAAGAGTTTTCTAATTTTCAATGACATGAAGCTTTTAGTAGAATTATCATCATATGGTGCTATAACAACGAACACAATTAGTTACTTATTGCCTCATCTAATGGAAAATTCAATAGCCTTTCAGAATATGACCTCTGAGCAAGATGAAAATTTTTTCTTAGCTAGACAGAATGTATTGGATATGATAGAAGACGGATATGGAAAGAACAATATTGGACGGCTTCAGTTTCGTATCTTGTCCTTTTAAATTATCAACCTACTAATTTGTTTAGTATAAGTCTTCAAGCAGAGATTTTACTCTTTCTAAAGGAGAGAAAATAACTCTCTAACTTATCGTAAATCCATTAAGAAAACTCTAAACAGTTTTATCATTTCTTTTGAAATGTATGTAATTGCGAGAAACACTATACGATAAGTGTTTAACTAGAGCAGTTTCCCATCTAGCGTATATTTTCGTAAGTCGTTTGAAACAATATGACTCGACTATTTTTATTTATCTTCGCTTTTCCACACATCTGTAATATGCTGTTTGTTTTTATTAGTTCGATGTAGACTTAAATAAAATATGAATTCTATTTAAGTTGACTCAATTTAACTGAAAAGAAAGAAACAATATATTAAGTTAATTTTATTTCACTCTAATTCGCATGGATGATTAAATTCAATTATTTGAGAATTTTTTATCTACATTGGTTGAGGCTGTAAAATTAAATAAAGATTACATATTAATCTTCACTTTCTCTTGCATCTCATAGATTACGGAGAGGTTATTGATTGTCGCTAGATTTTCAGCTCAATTCAAGAGAATGGTGCGTCCTGTTTCACAAATATGATCTAGAACTTTTAATAGCTGATATAAATGTTTAAATGATCATTGTGACATCCTCAGATTTCTTTCCGAAAATTCTTCATAGAGCACAAGATTTTAATGTAGAAAAAAAAGACAACAATCTTTTTCCATTGATATAAAATCGATTATATTCAAAAAAAAAGAAAGAAAGATCAATACAAGAACACATACCTGTGAATTCGAAAAATATTGATTTGTGTTTGTCATGGCGACAGAAAATGTAACAGCTGTTACCATAACAGCAGACATGGTCAAAACCACGGATATAGTTTTTTTGATCTAAAACATATTGCAACGTCTCACCAATCGTGATTCTTGAATCTATTCTTTCTAGATTCTTATTATTAGCCACTGTAACCAAAATTAACAAAAAATATGATTCTAATCGGATAAAAAACTGCCATTTAAATCGATTTTTAATCAAAACAAAAATAGATTAGAATCAATTTTCTTAGTTCTTACTAATTTCAATCAATTTTTCCAAATTAATTCTATTTCATCTTCAACATTTTTGCACAATTTTCCTTAGTTTTAATCGATGGCAATATTCTAATTTATTCTAACGATATTTAACAGCGATATACCTTTCTCTCGACATTCTGCCGCAGCAGTCTACTTTTTAAGTAAATTTTGGAATTTGTCGTGTCTAGAAACTATGAAGTTACTACTTAGCTAGAACTGCCCTAGTAAGACTATTTTAAAACACAAAACTTATTTCACATTGAAATGGCATAACCATAGCAAAAAAGGATTTAAGTTCAGTGGACTCAAGACAAAAAAACTGATTATAATTAGATATATAAAATAAGATTAAATCTTCATGAAATTTCAACTGATTAATCTCATTTCATCGCTCAAAGTCGGTCAACATATGAAATAGGAATATCCCATTATTTTTCTTGCTGTTTTCTGCAACATATTTTTTCAAAAAATCAATTTCGGTCAAAATTTATCGCAACTTAATCTGCGACTCTCTGAAATGATTTAAATCTGGTTTTCGCATATTTTTCACGAGGGAATAAATATTATTGATTACTAATGCATTTGCCGATTACAATCAACGATAAAAGGAAATGCATGAAAATTCACTATATGATAGTAGAGATTTCGAATGATTACAGTTTTAAAAAAGACGGAAAGAGATTGAAAAAAATTAGCATTTGCAATCGAATATTTGAATTTCTCGAATTTCGAATAGTTTATAATTGAAGAATACAATACTTACTTTAATTTTTGTTCGATTATTAGGATATTTTGGATTTTGAATGATTTAAATAGGTTATATTGAGAGATTGATCATGGTCTCTTTGATGTTGATTTTGATCCATATTTTCTAACAAAAATCTTTCTTTTTTAATTAATCGTAAGGTGCAGGCAATTCAAAATTTCAGTGAAAATTTTTTTTTTCCCTTTTGTTTTACATCATTCGATAGAGTTTGATCTGCTGATCATGAAAAACAACTTTTTAGCCTCAGCAAATACTTTGTTCTGGTCGAAAAATCCGAAATACTTAAGAGAAGCCGTTCTTTCAAAAAAACGCATCTTTTTCAAAATGTACGAATTTTTGGGCTTTAGACATTTTTGCAGCTTTTGAAAATATTTTTTTCAGATTCAGCCTCAAAAAGTGAATACGAAAAAGTCTTTAAATCGACTATAGGTCCAAAAATGTATTGATGGTTGCGCTTTGAATCGCGTCGGGTATCCTATGTATAGGTCAATTTTGTAAACCTATCTAGTTTTTCTACGTAAGTGATAAGGCCAAATATTTTGTCTTATTCGGTTCATCATATGACTAGGCAAAAAAGTATGCATAGCTTTTTTCTCCTTTCCTTTTCTTTGTCGAGAAAAGTCGTTTTTACTGATATTATAGCCATTTCTGGCGGTATTTGACAGTTTTCGACATCAAATAAGACTTTTAGTCACAAACTAAATACAGATTCATAATCAGCGCAAAAAACTGAGTCAAATGAAGTTGATTCCAAGTTAATTTGACAATTTTCATATTCTGTCGTTTTTGCAGCTTTCGTCGGAGAACTGAAGTTGTTATATACAAGTCAAAAGATAAAAGTTGTCAAATTAACTTGGAATCAACTTCATTTGACTCAGTTTTTTGCGCTGATTATGAATCTGTATTTAGTTTGTGACTAAAAGTCTTATTTGATGTCGAAAACTGTCAAATACCGCCAGAAATGGCTATAATATCAGTAAAAACGACTTTTCTCGACAAAGAAAAGGAAAGGAGAAAAAAGCTATGCATACTTTTTTGCCTAGTCATATGATGAACCGAATAAGACAAAATATTTGGCCTTATCACTTACGTAGAAAAACTAGATAGGTTTACAAAATTGACCTATACATAGGATACCCGACGCGATTCAAAGCGCAACCATCAATACATTTTTGGACCTATAGTCGATTTAAAGACTTTTTCGTATTCACTTTTTGAGGCTGAATCTGAAAAAAATATTTTCAAAAGCTGCAAAAATGTCTAAAGCCCAAAAATTCGTACATTTTGAAAAAGATGCGTTTTTTTGAAAGAACGGTTTCTCTTAAATATTTCGGATTTTTCGACCAGAACAAAGTATTTGCTGAGGCTAAAAAGTTGTTTTTCGTGATCAGCAGATCAAACTCTATCGAATGATGTAAAACAAAGGGAAAAAAAATTTTCACTGAAATTTTGAATTGCCTGCACCTTACTAAAAATCTATTTAAATTAAACGATATTTGTTAATTATTTGTAGAAAAATCGCTGTCATGCATTCTGCTGGTTTACATATTATAGTTCTCGAATATATATACAACTGTTAATAGTGCTTAAAAGCAATTTAACTTACTTTCTTTTATATATTTCACACATTGTACATGATTTTTATCGACTTAGTTTAATATCGATTTGACTACAATAATGGTTATGAAACTCATACACAAACATCTCGCGTGACTATCAAAGAAATTGATCTAGAGAAAGAGCTAAGCGTCAATTAAAACTGTCTGGTCTGATTTTAAAAAATACCAATTTCTTAACTGAATTCTCAATATTACCTCTCTAAAAAAGACCTTATGCCAAAACATGAAGACAAAAGTTTAGACTGATCTACCAAGAAAATAAGTATTTGAAAATAGCAAATCCAAATCTGTTAATCTGCATGGACAAATATTATCTAGAAAAAGAAAAAGAAAGACATAAGTAAAGATCATTTTTCTCCTGATAAAGTTAATAAAAAGCGTTGACAAATAATCTAACAAAAAAATGAAACATAACATGAAGAAAAGAAGTTAAAAAAACATTCACTTATTCTTCAAAATAAGCTATTATTACTGTTTTTCATCAAAATAAGTGAAGTGTAGCATTTATCTAGTTTATCGAGCTGTCATTTCATATTCATTACTAGCCGGTTCGACCATAACTCTTGCTTCTAATAACCAAATGAATGATAACATAATAACAATACCACCACCAAGTGTTGACCACTGCATAAAAAAAAAGATTGAATCAAATATTGAAATTCACGATATGAGTCCTGATATTATACAATCAGGATTATGAAAAATATTAAAGTAATAATATGAAAGGATAAAGTTATTTTCAATAATAAGCTCAATATGATGTATCAAATATAATATTTAAATAATAGAAAAGAATAAAATTATTTTCAATGATGAGATTAATACGAAGTATTAAATAAAATATTTAAATAATAATAGAGCAACACATACTATTTGAAATTCACGAAGAATATGATTATGATCAGGCAAACTTGATTTCGTCCACAATGTTAATAATACAGATATAATAGCAATGGTTGGTCGAATTAACAAGATCTAGAAGAAAGATGATATTCAGAGATAAGTTTATTTTAAGAGAAATTTATTTCACTGGCAATCTGTAGATTCTGCGATTGTTGATACGAATAATTTTCGAAATCCTAAACAATATAATACCAAACATACACCAGCCACAGCCGAATAGAATAATAATAATACATCTTATTATATTTTCTATATTTCGGATCAGAGCTGGGCATCTCCATGGCTACGAGTATCAGGTTCGCTACTGTCAATTCTTTCTCGTATTGATAGTAGCGACACCTGGTACTCGTTGCCATGGAGATGCCCAGCTCTGTTTCGGATTTGTGTGTTATTAAAAAAGAAAAGAACTGCATGCGCTCCGATTACAGTTGCACTTGAAACCTATACAAAAAAAAGTATTTCGAAGGTCAATTATCACTGAATAATTACTAGATCAATGAGTAACACAAGAATACGAATCCATTTCGCTTTTGTATTTGTATAAGGTACATTATCACGTGAACACATTTTTTTTATCAAATATAGTTTGTAGCCTGTCGAATAAAAGAATCTGAGCACCACAACACCTTCACCAATATTAGCTGTTGTTATGTTGAAGAGAAAGACAAAACTTCTCGGTCAAGTACAAATGTTAATAAATCATTTAATTTCTAATTGATTATTTTAGAACCAATTTCATCGTTCTTTTTAAAAATCTTGCACTAATTTGTATAAGCATAAAAGGTATTTATTTCTTCTTGAGATCTTAAATAAATAATATCTCGAAAATCATTTATTCAATCGTCAATCAGAAGATGAAAGAGGTTGCTAGGATAGCTTGTTTATTTACGTTTGTTTCATAGATTGAGATAAGCTACACACACTTGCATTTACACACAAAAATCGCCATTGCATCGAAATGACATAAAGTCTCTCTATAAAATAAAAGAGGGCGTTCTGTATCGCTAACTTGAGACGTGTGTTCCTATGTCTCTTCGTTTAAGAGAAAACTAATAAATATAAAAGTGTAATGGTTCTCGATTTTAGTTGGAAATGATTTTAGGGTATTAGTATTAAAAATAAATAAATATTCCATTGCTTAAATTTTTTGGTAATCTGAACATTGTTCGAAAGTAAATGAGCCGAAAAATAAAAAAACGTGTAAAACAAAAATAAGGATGAAGGCGAGATGTAAACTGATGATTATGATGGTGAAGATTGTTACTGTGATGAAGTATCATTTTCAACATGCCTGCCTTTCGACGCACGTATCGTTTTAGTTTTTGACATTTTACACTAGATACCATAGCTAATGATAGGCAATGAAAGAAAGATATTAACTTGCTCCACCTCAACAGGATAGAAAGAAGTTGCAATGAACCATTTTTGTTGAGAAAATGTTGATAGTGCAATCAGAATATCCGAATATGTCGAGTTTTTTACAATCGATTATCATATCGTTTTACCGACTAAATAGTTTATGAACATATGATCAATAGAAATCTAGTTGTAGTTTCTTTAATTGAAATTCATGATGATATTATTATGGCTATTAAATGATCCAGGAATTATATTTACATTACTCTTTATAATATTGTTTTTGAGATTTTTCATAGTGAATGAACTCCATTCGAATTGAAATTCGTTTCTGCTGCTACATAATATATATCTGAATAAGTGTTAACAGTTACGTATGAATATATCAATCTATAGGATAGAAAAAAATCTGATTAAATGATTTCTTCTAATAACATGCACTTAGTCCTTATTGTCATTATAGTTTTGCTTAGGATATAAGCCTTCACTCATAATTTCTCATTGCAATCTAACGCTCTCACTCTCATTTGTAACTCTAAATAAATTACATACAATAAAAAT